GCACACGCACACGCACACACAATTTCTCTGTGCCGGGAATGACTGGAACATGTCTTCAGATGGACATTAAGAGGTATTACTGTAATGCTGCATTATGCTTCTCCTAACTTCCACAGCTTTGGTTCACATTAAAAACAATATGTGGAACATGGCAGGACCTGAGGGAGGTTACTGCATTGATTGTCTTTGGTCCTCAAAAGTGCACTTGAAGCAATGTGAGTCAGCCTGCTTCCTCGGCCACAAGAACTACTCAGAAGTTTGATCTCACCAAATAGGAGACTGATAAAAGGCCAAATGATTAGATTAGAATATTAATCCCCAGTGGGGAAACTCATTTGGCACCAAAAACTCATACGGACAACAATAGACACAGTACACAATGCACAACAGACAAAAAACACATTTGCAAAGAATAAATAAACCCAGAAAATGCTATATGAAACATGATTGACATCAGAAAGCTGCTACATCTAAAGGCGTTCATTAAAAAAAATCGAACTGCTGCTGGAACGAAAGACATTCTGAGTCATTCAGTAGAACACTGAGGCATCCTGAGTCTGTCACTAAATCAGCCTCTGAGTCCGTTAAAAACAGTGTAATGGATGGCCTTCAAAAGAAACAATCGTTTTTAACTTGGCCCTTGTTGACTTTTTCTACAGTGACTTCTAGTGAGTCCGGGGGAAGGCCAATCACTGAGCCAGCCTTTCTGATCATCTTACGATTTTTCCAATTTAATTTACTGTCCAGATGGACCCTACTGTATTTATATGACTGGACAATTTCCATCTGCTGACCCGCAATTATCACTGGGGAGACCTCCTCCTTCTTCCTTCTGAAATCAACAACCAACTCTTTGGTCTTTCCAGCATTTAGTTTTAAAGAATTTTCATCACACCAGATTTAGGAGGGAATCTTGTGTTTTGTTTCTAACGGGGGAAAGGTGGTTTCACCACACAGATTTTGTCCGAATGTTAAGAGTTGTGCTGCCGAAACATTGAGATAATCTAGTAACGAAAGCACACTGCTACTAAAGGAATGTAGGGAAGCATGGTTTAGTTCTCAGCAGTGTGTCTTTCTACGCGTTCCCCGCCTCCACTTCAGCTGGTCTTGGGTCACCCTCTTTTGCAGTCCCAGCAGTGTAATTGCATCTGGGTCGTCTCCAGCTGAATATCCAATCAACAAAAGTAGAGTATTACTCAAACCTTGCCGGATCAGTGCAATGCATCCCATTTATATACTGTGAATAAAAAAAAATACCTGGAGATGTTATCTTTGAATTTGTACCACAGGCAGACACTAAGGAGCACTGCCAGCAGGACAACAATGACACCAACAGCAACACCAACAGTAGCACCAACAGTAGGACCAACAGTAGCACCAACAGTAGCACCAATCTCTGTCAGGAGAAAAGAGTTTGACAGTTAATATTCCAAATGTTCATGTACTCTCTCGCGATAAATGGCATTTTCTTTTAGTTCACTACCATCTATGCATAATTGAAACAGGGCGCTATGTAGCCCTCTTACACTCACTAGACAATTTAAAGAGCATAAGCATTTGACTAAAAAAAAGAAAGAAAAGAATGTCTCATGCTTGGTCTGCAGCACACAAAGAGTGAGGGACTGAGTAGACAGCTGCTCGAGGATGTGATCTGATACACAGATTAAGGTAATGTCCCTACCTTTTTCTTTCAGAGACCTCAGGAGGGCATTTAAAGTGCAGTTGGCTGTAAAAAGACGACATCAGAACGTCAGATGCACTGAAATACACATTTCTCTTCAAAATAAATGTATGAAAACATTCACAATTAATATCTAAGGTACAACTGGATGGGACAATCTGACACAAGGTAAGAACAAAATGTTTGCAATGTTAATAATTTTAAATACCCTTCACAGACAGACAGGGAAAGATACTCACGCTCACAGAGAACCGTGTAACCGATCCCCTATGGAGAAGAAACAAAAGGGGCAAAACATTGAGTTTATTAGTGTCAGAAAGACGACATTTTCAAATCAATATCTTCACCTCTATGTTTTTAGTAGCTTTGATGTCAGAGTTATCACAGCTTATCCGTGGTGCCGTTATGTGATTCCCGAGAGGCATTAAACCTAACTCTTCAATCTCCTAAACAAACAATATTTGAACTTTTTCCATCACTCATATTTTCGCATAATAACAGCTTATCTAATGAGCCCCACGGAGTGCAGTGGTACTTTTTCGCATGGTAAACGTGTAGTACCTCTGAGAGGCAGTTCCGTCTGAAGGTGGTGTTGTTGAAGCATCCTGAGGTGATGAGATGGTTGATGCTGTAACTCACCACCACCGGCTCAGTCTCACTATTATCGTGATTTGCAAGCACGTGTTTCTAAAGTGAATATGGAGAGGAAAGAATTTAATAATAAACAACAAAAACCCTCAGGTACACATCCGGACGCGTGTTAGGTTTTTAAGAACAAAGGATGAAGGAGCCTGCAGGCCGCAGGTACTCTTCTGCTGCGAGCTTCTTACTGCGCACGCGCATCAGAAGAATGAGCTAGATCCGGTTCAAATTAAAACAATATTTAATGTACTACACAAAGTTCACTTACAAACTGAATTAACTATCAATAGTAATGTTCTCGAGAACAGAGACCACATACACGCATCTCACTCACAGGTCTGAATTCAGGTACTGAAAAACAAGAGCAGAAGTGGTCTGAGGAATGTTCTCTCGAACGTTGTCTTTTATATCCCCTGACAGTTGGAAAGTGACCGAACTGTCCTAAAACATGTGAATGATCCTCCGTTGATCAGTGATTGGCTCCATTTGAATCCTGTCCCCTCCCTGGATCGATCCTTTGTGGCAAACATCTTGAACTCCTCCTCTCTGACCTGCTGGTCAGTTGTCCTTCCCTCTGCTGCACCTCTGAAAAGGCTCACTCAAAAATGATCCCTTACTGACCCTCAAAACTATTCATACAGTGTTTTAATACCTTTAGTGACTATACTTCTATGATTTAATACATTCAATGAGTTAATATACTGTAACATATAATATCCTCTATAAGTGAGGATATTATAAACATAATACATTCCATATGGAAACATATTGTGACTAACATATTTATTATTGTGACACTTCTACTCACCACTAGGGGTGTTATTTAATCCTACTAATAATGCCTTTAATACTGAAATTCTCCACACCAGACATGTACGGACATGTCCGGAGGGCACAGTTTTATATTAATCCAAACAAGCTCAGCTATCACGCTGCAAGTAACTTACACCCCGTGCCCACGAGTAGTCGCAGTCTGATCCATTCACATCTGTGATGCGAGAGTCGTCTGAGATGTTGTACCGTGTTTGCTCAGGAACCAGTGAGTAAGACGAGGCGATGCAACTAATGCTCCACGCTCTTCCAAGCAGTAGAAAGTCATCTGGGGACAAATAGAAAAATACGTCACCAGAAGCAAGATTTGGTTACAAACTGCTCTTATCTAGGTCTGTGTCTGCAAATAACTATGAAACTGACAATGCAAACATGCACAGAGAGTAGTCCTAACACTGCTGTTCAGAAAGATAAACATCATGAATCCCTTTGTAGTCCCTTTAATATCTAGTACACAGTAACAAAGTCCATTTTCTTTGTCACGTGCTGTAGTTTTTTGCACCTTGTAAATCGCAAGTGTGCCGCGTTACATCAGAGTAGATCGTAGGGCGCGGAGTCACGTGTCGGCATTCTTCCGCATTCTCCCAATTCCCTCTTTGTCAACTCTGAAAGTTATTTAAGCTTACTACGCGCGGATGTAATCAGGTGAGTAACGGAAGTGATACGCGTCACTTTACGCAAGTGTGCACTTTACACAGCACGCGTTAGTGTTTTTATTTTCTCATCTCAACAACACGGACCGAGATGATGGCCATTGTTATTGAAGAACTATATCTATTTTTAGAGCCTCGACATAAAATAGCTATTGACATAGTATGAATACACTATAAAGAGGCGACATACATAGAAAACACTTAGAATGCTACAAAGACTCAGTCCTCCACAGCGCAAAACAGCGCTAAATCAACAATATCTTCCTAACTTTACCTAACCGCTAGAGTTACTTAGCTAGTTCCCGTCTTCGAGTGGCCGTGTTTAGCCAAAAGCAGTTTAAGAAGCCAGCCAGCAGAAATTTAAACAGATTAAAATATTCAATTTAATTAGGTTTCATATGTACTAACTTAGCTACTGACATTTTAGCCAGACATATGACACGCTTCCTTTCGTTCCGATGAGATAAACTGAGTACGTTAAAGCACTGATTCATTTGTTTGTTTCAAACAAATGAATCTTTAAAAAAATCAAAATAAATACTCACATGCAAAAAAAAAGCAGCACGCAACGACCTCCATCCTTGCCGGTTACAATTCCATTCCCATCTGAAAGCATGCTCAAGAAAACGCTGTAATTTAGGGGTTTCCTATTCCTTTTCACACCTTCAAAATAAAACGCATCAACGTTTATTTCACCTAAGGAAGGACAAGTGTTGTAGTTTGAGTATTACGTAATAGCAGGTGGACTATCAACTTTTATAGAGTCGAACAAACAACCATTGATGACTGGTAGTATATTAATTAAATTGGATTGCGTTGCAGAGGTTTTGGAAGAAGATTAGATTTATCGAATAGTTTCGCAGCATTCAGAGAACGACTGTATCAGCAAGACAACATGTAACTAAAATTAACAGTTCTTTAAATGCACATAAACTACATTGTGCATCAATCTGAGCGAAAGCACAGCCGTACCAGTTTGTTGGATTGTTTCAATCATTGACACATACACAGCAGCTTCAATGACTATAATTTCAAGCAAATTCCTGGTGTCCATACTAGTCTACAGCCCACTACATTATTTATCCTATTCCTATTTAAATAGTGTACTGAACTCGATTTCCTTATGAGCTTTAATTTGAAATATCTCTTAATTAAAGTAAAAATGTCTAATATTCAGTATGGGTGGAGTCAACGATGTCCCCAACACATACATGTCAGTCATTGTCTGGAATTATTGAGAAAAATATTTTTGTAGCACCTTAAATATTGTGATATTACCCATTTTTGTCCTGAACATATATGCATTAGCCGTTGTGTGGAATTATTGAGAAAAACATGTTTATTGCACCTTAAACATTTAAAGAATGTGCCATTTGAAGGTACAAATTCAGTTCAGAGTTTTTGCTTCGTAAAATATCTTAATTGGCCGTCAGTCAGGTATTATTAACTTCTAGCAACCCTCAAATCAAAGAATAAAGACACTTTACACACAATTTAGGTGTATTTTCCCTTTAACTCAGGAGATGCAGGTAGCATGTTTTATAGTTAATGTGAATATAATTAATTTAATCTCTTTTCATTATGCAATATGTATACTTTGTTGGCATCTTATTCTGAAAACCGGATGTTCGTCTGTAGAAAACCGGAAGTTGTCTCACGTTAATCTTTCCGCTAACTTTGCAAAGTTCTTCGCTCGCTCCCGATCTGTGCCGTTTACCGTAAGTTTCAGCGTAAATGTGCACTACAATTTAAGTGTCTGCTGAGTTGACCACGGAGATCTGAGTGTCTGCTGACTTGACCGCAGTGATCGGCGGAGGTAGTGCGGGTAGATCGCATGCCATTCAAAAAAAGTTAGATGTCCGCATTGCATTTGCCACTTGATTTTCTAACACACGGGTCACCACGTATGCGCGGTCAACCGCGCGAGCTACTGCAAAACTCCTGCGAGCTAATTAGTTAGCCTTCCAATTTATTTCTACTAAAGAAGCTAAAGCTGCAGCGCCATGATTTGGGAAACTTCCAAAACCTCGCGTCAGAACTGGAGACTCAACGGAAGGCGTGTGCGTAATTTGACAGTGCGCGCTACACAGAGCAGATTGACAAGTGTCTGTCAGAGTTTGACAAATGCTTTCGAGACTTTGCTTTACTCGAGCCAGTTGCTACACTTATGTGCTGCACATTTCGGGAAGATATTGAGGTTGATTCACTCGCATCAAAAATTGCAACGCTGTTTCACTTGAACTCGTCTGGAGTGGAGGATGAGATTTTGACACTACAAACTGACATTCAGCTGAAGTCCAGGGCTCATGGACAGTTTTCTCACAGAGGAAAAGTACCCAAACATGAGGAAATGTGATAGATAGATAGATAGATAGATAGATAGATAGATAGATAGATAGATAGATAGATATTCAGCATTTTTAATGTAGGTAGATCATTTTGACTTGGTCATTTTAAAAGTAGCTCGCAAGCCGAAAAAAGTGTGGGCACCCCTGACTTAAACCATGTAGGCCTACTACAGTTTGATTAGGAATCCTGGTAGCACTTTGTAATAAGAGTATAAATCACAAACTTGAGCAATGCATGACTCACAATGAGTTAATTTCAGACCCACGCATTTGCTCAGCCTCTCCGAAAACAGAACAGCACCTCTTCTCAGACAGACAGACAGACAGACAGACAGAGCGTGTCAATCAATCAATGCACTCACCATTCCTAAATCCAGAGCTGGTCGTTTTCAAACAGCTGGAGAAACAGATGTGTAGGTGGGGGAAACAGAGGAGGTGGCAGCAGTTGGTATTGGGGGTGTAGCACCAGTGTAAACAGCTGGAAACATTTATTCTGTCTTGATACTGGTCTGTTTCCAGCTCCAGAGAGTCAAAGTCCATTAAACCTCCTGAGCCGGGCCACTTGTCATCGCAACCATTATTATCAAATAGCTTTTACAATGGACCTTTATAATATAACATAATGGCAAAAAAATACCATTAAAAATAGATAACTCTACTGTTATCTTTGTACTGATACCAGTGATATTACCACAGCTAAACACTGACACATTACAGCTAGTACGTCTACTACAACGAAGGATGCCACTCATATCATTACTGCTACTACTCAGACATTAGATGGCTTACTCATTGAGCTGCATTGTTTTTGACTCAGCTGAACCACTAGTGGGTTTCCACATCACTTTGTTCACATGGTGAACCTCTTTAACCACTAATCTAAACTGTCTCTATGGTAAACTGTCTCTATTGACTGTAACAGACAGAAAGGGATGTCGGATGATCTAACCCCAACCCACAAGAAAAATATGCATCCTGTTGTTCACGCATTATTCTGCTGTTCACTGTTAATATATCTTGCTGACTTTGCTGCTACAAATCACACTGTCACTCTTGTCTTTCTGTTTTAACCTGAACTGCTCTCGTATAGTTTGTTTCATTTATATTCTCATTTTTATCTTACCTGTTTATGTTGGATTTGCACCGTACAGTTAACCTGTTTATTTATGATCCTTTGTGATGATGATTTATGATCCAGTGTATATTTTGTTTTTTGCACCTTAGTGATAATCTCAGTTGTTTATACTTAGTTTTATTTGCCCTCCAGATAAGCACTTTAGATTAGCCACAGCTTGTCCAACTGATTAGTTTGTTTGTAAATGGCGTGCATCATTTTAGCAGGACAATGTATGTGTCTGGTTATTTTTTCTCTATAAACTCAATCTACTTCCTGTTTACACCGGTGCCCACAAGCCCACATGCACGTCAATCGTCATATCATCTGTTTTCAGGCGTGGTTAGTCGGGAAGAAGATCATTTTGAAACTATGCTGAAACGCCCCTGTTGACAGAAACTCTGTTTTAAGATGAAGACGTGGTTGTAGCGGTAATCTTCCCTCCGTCCGGTGACGTAGTCAGTAGCACAACTAAAGGAGCATTTCAACATTGTTTTTACACAAATCACTGAACACATCTTATTAAGTCTAATATGGCTCTTACAGTGGTAGTGTGGATGTTTTGTTTACTCCCTGTCACTATATGACTACAGCTGAAATGTCACCAATATCACTGACACGTCTCATATTACTCTTTATACTGCCTGCATTCAATTTAAAGATCACCTCTAGATTAGTTTACTTAATTTAGTTTAAAAAAATAAAGGCTTGTTAATTATAAAGTACTTATGAATATCACTATGACTATTACAGTTGCTATTAGCATTTCTAAATGATACTGCTGCTTCCAGTAGAACCAGTTTGCTCTGCAGGGAAACTCACTTCAATGACTCAGTAATAGAAGCAACAGCCTTCAGGAGGGTCAACCCTCCCTCACCCTAACCCTTTGGCAATGTTCCCTAATATGCGCTTCTTGTTGTTCACGATGTAGTGCGAACAGGTATGGGCCTTGAAGTTTATTTCACTCAACTGTCTCATCATACGTGACATAAACCAGTGAAGAATTCTTGCCGACACTTTCATAGGGCTGATTTGACAAACAGTGGTGTTGACGCGCCAAAAAAACTATTACTGACCAGTTGCATATACATCATACATGCATATGCAATCTATGATTTATTCCCTAAATAGATCTTTATATCTATATGAGCATTCCCAGTGATGAGCCTCGGTACCCAGCTAGAAATATGTGATATTAATAAAGAAGACCTGTGAACTGCTGACCTCATGTGGCTGAACATCGTATCAAATACAAATCAAATGTATCAGCTAGCAAGAAAGTGTGAACTTAAAGAACAAGTCAGTCATAAAAGATGAGACTACGTAAACTGCTTTATCCAATGATTAGTTCATTATTTTAGCCGATTGTTGTAAATGACTGTAAAAGTAATAATTTGGAAAGAGTGTATTATGTTCCCTTTTGTTGCAAAACCAGCAAAATCATACTTAAATAAAATGAATGAGAAACAAAAAAGTACAACGTACTTACTCTAAGGGTGCATACAGAGAACGGGTGGCTCCGGTGACTCAACTAAAATCATAAAACTGATTTACGGAAGCTGACCTGTTGTAACAACAATGGGTGTTCTCAGGAAATGTGTCTCCGCCCGCTCAGCTCGGCAGCTTCTTGACGGGTGCCAAACTAGTACCGCTCGCCTGCCACAGTTGTGGCACCTGACTGACGCTTGCCGCTGAAGTGCCACTGACTGCCGCTGAAGTGCCACTGACTGCCACAGAGGTGCCAGTGCCACAAGAAGGATCTCGGCCCTGCTCCATTTCTATGTCTCAAAGGGGTTTTCTGGTGGTCCAGAGGTTCATACATTGATCTGTTGCTCATTCAAACATCTGGGGACAGAGGGCACATGCAGCTGTTTGCAACGCTTCTCGTCCACCTCTCTGTTCGGGATAACTGGCCAGGAACAGAACACACGTTAATACAAATAGACTTAACTATACAAGCCATTGTAATCCTTCAGTCAGCACCATAGATTGACATGCCGTAGGACAGTGAATGTGAAACTATGCCCAAATAAATATGACCCAATCACTGGGGAACCTCCCCCCACAAAAGACAAGACCTCCACAGTATCTCTGATATGGTGATACTGTGATATATTGTTGACTTATTTGGCTCATGGCACTTCTGATAGTAGTGCCAAGTAGTTAACAAAACATCAATGAAGAAGTGTTCTACTTTACAAAGCAATACCAACTGGCATTGAGCCTACAAGATCTGAGAGGCTCGTCAGTTGATGAGCTGATATCAGTAAGTGGTCCATGTCATAAGTAGGGAATGATTTCATTTTCTGTTGTTGAGAGACAGGAAGCAGACAGATCATTTACTTTGTTTCAAATCCAGGTCTGCAGGAGTCCATTGAGAAACTGAACAGAGGATCACCAGCTGTCAGCCAAGCTGTAGCCAGTAGCGGTCCAGCTGAGGAGACATCAGGCCACCGACAGGTCACCTGATGAGGGTGCACCTGTTAGAGGGAAGAAGAGCCAGCCGAATAAAAGAATGAAACTTTTTGAGCTGATGTCAATAAACAAATTCACTTTTTTCTTCCTGCACTTAACACCACGAGTGCCTGATTCATTCAACAACAACATAATAATAATACACAAACCTGAAACTCGGCATTTAAACAGCCACATAATGTATAACGCATTGAACACATTACTGACATTACCAACAACAAATGAGCAGCCTGGGGTCACATCTGGTGGGACATCTGGAGAGAGCTGCTGTTCTTGCAGCACAAACAGAGTTGAGGATTTCAGAGAGTTTGTCAATGGCAGACGATGAAAGAAGAACATTGTATGTTTGAATTCTTCAGTAAAACCAAGGAGAATTTTTTTTTTTTCCACTGAAGAAGGAACATTTCCATTGAGACAGGGAACAGAAAATGTAGTGGGAATAATAGTATACGGGTATGGATCATTTTAACTAGAGCTGCTACTAACAATTAAGTTTTCGTTATCAATTAATCTGCCAATCACAGAGCAAAGCCCACGGGCATCAATCTCAAACATCCAACGGGAAAAGCAGCAAACCCTCACATTAGAGAAGAGAACGTTTCACATTTTACTGAAAAAATAACTCATTTGATTGTTAGAGTACACTTGCTACAAAGTCAAAAGAGCAACGTGTTTTTAAGTCATGATCAATTGTTAAAATCTTTTCTGTCAGACATGCTGAATGGATTTTATGTGCCTTTAAAACTCGTCTTACACGGTGTTGCTCCACCAGTGCCAAGCAGCTTCAGCTTTTTGACTAACTTACACACTAGTGGTGAGAGCTTCAAACCAAAAGTGTCCGCTTGATCCATTTCAGAACAGACTGACTGCCAACGGAGTGGCTGCATAAAGACTAAAGATGCATCAATAAATATCACACACACAATTTTACTATTGTTGAATTTTATGTAAATTAATGAATTAAATTAAATTCATACATAAACAAATGCCAAAAAAATAACACTGGGAACCCTTCCCCGGAAACAACAAAAAAAAGTAAACTAGTCAATGCAACAATATAATTTAACGTACAGTGGTATAGTGCCGATAAAACACATTCAAACCCTTGGACTTCATGTTGTAGTTTTTCAACTATGAATCACAGATGATAAATGCAACCAGCCGACATGGTCAGAGGAGAGACTGCCGTGTAAAACAAAACCACTCCAAGTTGCTGTCCTGTCCATGAGCCTGAGTTGGGACTTACAGTATTTGAGGTTTCTACCATTTCTGGGGGAAACAAAATGAATCCACTGTGACTCTCAGTTAAAACAATAAAACATGAAAAGAGTGAATGGAGGCACTGTAAGCTTGAATAATGATACTTGACATTAAATTCCCTTACATTAAATATGTGCTTTTAAAAGTGGATGAATGCTGAGTGCGAAAATAGACTTTGCATTAGAAAAAAAAAAAAAAAAAGGGGGGGGGGGGGGGGGTATTGTTAATTTGTTGTCATCCATTCTTTGACCCAAACATACGTTCTTTTTTTTAAAGCTTTTGTTGCCCAATCAAAGGCTGAATCCTTGACGCACATAGGGAGGAACTTTGTTTCGTCCAATACTGGAACTGGTGCCTTGGTGACCTTCAACCAGTGACATCTCTAGGTAAATCAAATAGGAGAGCACCCTTGTTGAGCTTTACCTCACGTAACGACCTGTTCAAACCTCAACACATCATAGTTCTCATAGCTCACTGTGTACATTTATATAATGCGCGCGCGCACACACACACACACACACACACACACACACACACACACACACACAC